CAGAAGCCTTCTCTACCCCACACCCAATTGTAGTATTAGTGAGACCAACTGTTTTGGTTCTCTAGTGCTGCTATAGGGAGCTCTGGTGGTGTAGTGCCTAAGTCATTTGACTGCTAACCAGAAGGCTGGAGGTTCAAACCCACCAGGCACTCCTCAGAAGGAAGATTGGGCAATCTACTTCTGTAGAGATACCACCTCAGAAACCCAAGGTGGGGTCGCTATGAGTTGGATTTGACTCAAGGTTGTTTTTTCTTTCTTTCTTTTTTTTTTTTTTTGAGTGCTACTATAATAGACACACCACAAATGGATGGCTTCAATGAACAGGGATTTATTCTCTTACAGTTTTGAAGGCTAGAAGCCTGAGTTCAAAGTGTCAGCTCTAGAGGCTGGGTGAAGGCCCCTCAACCTTGGGCTTCAGCTCTGCCTCATGCTGCTGGCCCACTGGAGCTGGCAGTGTCTCTTAACTCAGGCAGCTGCTGGCTGCTGAGTCTGACAAACCCAAGGTTGAAAAATAAAATGGCACAGTCCCAAGATTACCAAGCAACACAGCAGTCCACTAGTTCAAGTGCAGAAACAGTCCCAAGATCAGCAGACAACATGGCAGGCCACTCACTGATGACTCAACCAAACACAGGATCTAAATGTGCCAAGAAGCTCAGAGACCTTTCTCAAAGCATCTTCTTATATACTGGAAGCAGATCACATCCCTAAGGCAGATATTCAGCTGCTCACAGTAGATTCCACCATGAAGGTAATTACCAGACTCATCATGGGGAATAACTACATCCAGCTGCCCAGCCACTCAAAACCAGGCCCATCCAAGTTGACACATAACCTTAACTCTTATTTGGGAAAGTGTACCATTAGGGATTACCATACTGGCAGAGAGAAGGGGTATTGGAAACTTTGCCTGTGGATGTTTGAAGAAGATGAAGCTTCTGAAAATGACCTGAGCATAGGGAGTCAGGCTACAATCTGGGTTGTGCCCACCATATGGTGATTCCCTTTGAGGGCTGAACTCTTCTTAGTGTCTCTTCCTTGGCTTGTAGCTCAGTGGTAACAGAAAGAATGGTCTTCCTGACTTCCTTTTTTTGAAGCCCCATGCAAAGGGAGCCACATCCTTTTTCAGGGGACCAGGCCCAGACAGAGTTCTATGAGCAGAGTGAGGTCATATTGTGGGCATAAGTTTAGATGGGAAAGCAACCCTGTCCCTAATGTACACTTCAATAGGGATCCTGATGCTAGGTTATAGAAGTTTGTAGAGAAGTCTGAAGGGAGAATTTAGATGAAGTAGGGAAAGAGAAGGTCAGCTTCCAAATGCAGAAATGGGTTGTACTATGTTAACTGGGGCTATGAGGTGAAAGAAGACTAAAGAGTAGCGATGGTGAACATGGCTGCTCCCAGATGCAGGAAGTGGCTTCTTTGTTGGAAAGCCATTGCTTCCCAGGCTGAGAGGACACCTGCTTCCCGGGAAGAAATCAGTTATAGGAGGCAGACAAATCACAGAGGATTGAGAATTAAGAGAGGATAAGCATGTAGGGAATGGAGGAGGGGATCAGAGGGGAGGGATTCAACAAGTAAATAGAGTCAAAAGAATTTTAGATAGAAGACAAAATACTACAGAGGCTATGATCATTTATTTGCTTCTTCTAGAACTTTCTTTGTTTGGCTTTCAAGACCTGCTATCCTGACCCCTGTTGGTCCTCCTTCCCAGAATACCCAGGAATGATGAGCAGCATTTGGGTGACAAAGCACATTACTGGTAATTAAATGAATCCTTGAAAGAAATCCAAGTAGGACCAGCTAAAAATGTGCATTATAAATAGTTTCAGTTTCACTGTCATTTTATTCTTTGTTAAATGATAGTCTGAGGGAAAAGAGAAATTGTTTGCTCAGCTCTGGACCTCCAAACCCTGGGGAGAAGGGGATGCTGATTTTAGTGGTCTCATAGGGTGAAAAGGAGAAAATGTTCTGGAGGGAAATAGTCACCACTGCTTGGCTGAAGACTGTGATTGTCCCTTCTGAGTTCTCCCTGCTTCACTTCCCCATAATGGGGACCAGGGTGGTTTGGACCAGGTGGCGAGCGCCACCTGCATGTAGAAAGCTGGAAGCAGGATAAAATATCTGTATACTGTTTAGCATTCTTATAGATCAAGAATAAAAGTCCAGTAAGGATGGCAAAAGGAGCTCTGGTGGCATAGAACCTAAGGTATTTGACTGCTAACTAGAAGGCTAGCAGTTCAGACTTACCAGCTACTCCTCAGAAGGAAGATTAGGCAATCTACTTCTGTAGTGATAGCACCTTGGAAACCCAAGGAAGCGTCGCTATGAGTCAGATCCAACTCGATGGCAGTGAGATTGGTTTTTGGTTTAAGGATGGCGAAACATCCTTTTGCTTACTTTGGACATGTCATTAGGAAAAGCCAGTTGCTGGGAAAAGACATCGTGTTTGGTAAAGTACAGGGTTCATGAAAACAGGAGAAATGCTCAATGAGATAGACTGACACAATCGTCACCACACTGGGCTCAAATATACCAACAGTTATAAAGATGGTGCAGGACCGGGCAACCTTTCATTCTGTTACAACATCCGGGATGTGACTCAGAGCTGACTCAGTGCAAAAACAACCACAACAGTAAACTCACTTTGACCCATCTCTGAATCTCTTCACCCAGAAACATCGGTTTCATTGTGATTAAGAGGCAATATAGGAGCTTTGGTGGCACAGTGGTGAAAGCATTTGATTGCTAACCAAAAGGTCAGCAATTCGAACCCCTACCCACTCCATGGGAGAAAGATGAGGCAGTTTGCTTCTGTAAAGATTACAGCTTTGGAAATCCTTAGGGGGAAGTTCTATGTCCTATATGGTGGGTATGAATTGGAATTGACTCAATGCAGTGGGTTATTAACCACCCCCCCCCCACAGGAGGAATAAAGATTCTTATTTTGGCAGAGTCTTAGAGACCTTACCACCTCCTTCAGTGAGAAAACAGAAGGTATCAGGTGTAACTCCCACAATTTCCCATCAGCATTCAAATTGCCTGCTTCTATTCCCCTTCTCCCATCTTGCTCCTGATACAGCAGAAGCATCGTGTTCCTATGAGTATTGGCTCTAGAATCTCCTCCCACTTTCTCCTACAACCTGTATCTTCAACTTTCCCTTCACTCTGTTCTATCAATATTTAAACATGCTGAAGACTTCAATTTTTAAAATATATTTTAAGGAAGAGGGCTGTTACACTGTGGAGACTGGAATCAATGTCACAAAACACAAGGTATATGAATTGCTGAACAGAAAACCAATTTGGTCTGCAAACTTCCACCCAAATCACAATAAAAAGTGAGTGTGTGTGTGTATATAAATATGTCACCAAAAACAACAGCTCTCTGATTTTATAACCCTATATGGTACTGGCTGTCTTCTTCTTCAGCTTCACAGTCACATTTCCTGAAAGAGTTGATGATATTTGCTGCCTCCGTTTCCTTGCCTCTCATTCAGTCTTCAGCCCACTGCCACCTCCCTCTTATTCCCTCCTCACCAGGAAACACTGATGGCCAGGTCAGCAACAGTCCAGTGTTATTGCCAGCTGCCTTCCAGTTTATTCCGACTCATGACAACCCCATGTGTAGAGGAGAACTGCTCTATAGGGTGTTCAAAGCTGTGACCTTTCAGATCACCAGGCCTTTCATCTAATGCACCTCTGGGTGAGTTCAGTCCACTGGGTTAGCAGTCTATTGATTAATCATTTGGACTATCCAGGGACCCACCAACAGTCCAACAGACAGTTTCTCTTACCTGATATATTGGTAGGATTTGAATGGTAAACTCTTCTTCTGACTTGAAATGCTCTCTTATCCTGTGTCAAGGATACACACATTCCTGGCTTCTCTCCCACTTCTCTAGTCATTCCTTGATCTCTGTAAATTCTACTATTATTCTCCAAGTATGTATGACTATGGAGTCATCCATGAGCTTCTCCTTCTCTCACTGCCCACCTACTTCAATGTTGATTTAGAATCTGACCCCTTCTTGATCCTTCTGTTAGCACCCTGGTCCTTAGTCACTCACTTGGGACACTATAGTAGCCCCCGCTCACTGTTCCTGCTCTCACCTCCACATGCAGCAAGAGTGTTTCTGCCACAAGTGCGTAACATTATGTAACTCCCTAGTTCTTAACCCTCTAAATGTTGTTTCCTGATCATTCTTAGATGTCCAGTTACATATAATGTCCACATAAGTCTTTCCTCAGCCCCCATACCTCAGCACCCCCCCCCCCCAATTTGCTCCAAGAACACCTGTATATTCCTTCCAAGAGCACTTGGTCCACTGTCATAACTTTGTCCCACACAGCAGCAGTGAGCTCTGTGACAGCAGTGATTATGTCTGTTTGTTGAATCCATCTTGAGTGCTTGACTTCTAGTAAATATTCCACAAATAACTGGTGAATGTACTTCATCCTCCATGATTTCTAGACCTATAGCACTATGGGATCAGGGAACAAAGCCCAAAAATAACGGAAAGCAAAGTAAAATTGTGAAAATTAGATTGATTATTGAAAGAAATCCAGAAATGGGCAGTGAACATTCCAAAGGGTTGTAGCTTGGGTGACATTTTCATTTTATTCCTTGTAAGATGTCGGCCTGCAGCAAAAACGAAACTGCCTTTGCATTTGCACAAGGTCTGGTGGCCTGAAATCTCTCCATTTCAACTGCGTCTTGGGTGAGTGGCTGGAAGTGGTCTGAGCAGGCCTGCTTTGCACAGGTGCAGGGAGGCTCCAGGCCTGGAGGGGCGATGGCCAGGCCCACTGCTGTGGGATTGAGATAGGCGTGGGGAACTGAGGTGACTAGTTCAATCTGCGGGCGGCTGTTTACAGCCAAAAACACAACCTAAGGCCACGAAAATGATTCGTTTTCCGGGAAACGAAAGTGAAAGAAGCAAAGTGAACCGACCAGAGCGGGCGTGGAACCGGCAGTCCGGCTCCGACGAGCGGAGCTGAGGATGGCTGCGCAGGACTCCTTCCCGCTGCTGGTCAAGGGGTCCTGGGGCCTCGATCCCCCGAAGAATCTGCGTAACAAGTTGCAGGTGTACTTCCAGAGCCCGAAGAGATCGGGAGGTGGGGAGTGTGTGGTCCGCTCGGAGCCCGGGAGCCCGCCCACCTTCCTGGCCCTCTTCTTTCAGGAGGACGGTGAGAGGCGCTTATCAGCATTCAGATTGCCCGGCGGGGTCGAGGGGTGGGTGCTGAGGGGCAGCAGAGCTCTTCCCCCAGGGAAACTTGGGGGGAGAGGGGTACGCGGCGGGAGAATCCGTCCCTCGGGGACAACAGCTTTAGAGGAGGGCATGGGGACCCAGGGAGTTCCCTCTGCGCGAGGCTTCCCGCCTTCCCGGCTCGGCCCAGAGGTGGCGCCAGAGCCACGCTCTCGAGCTTGTCCCGCTAGTAAAAAACAAAGGCCCAGAGACTCCGGGAGGCCGACCACCAGATCTCGGTGGGCACCGCCTGGGCATGGCAAACACTCAGAGACACTCTGAGGACGCTCTGCGTTTTTCTTCTATCTCTGTTTTACGCCTTTTCTGGTTATGAGGATTCTGCTTGAGTTATGGAGATTCTAGTGCTTTCGAGGCCACTTGGGAGAGGGGCAGGGGCACATTGGGTGTAAACGTAGAGGCTTTGCCGCAGCCTTTATATTGGAGGAGGACGGCAGCAGTGCTGAACATACAGTATCTGTCGAGGGTGCCTCTTCCCTCCTTGTCAGGCTGACCCCAGCACTACCTCAGAGATGACTTTCTGAGTTGATCGTGGGTTGGGACTATTGAGCTTTTAGGGAAAACATTTCCTGCTCACCAACAGTTCAAGGACTGAGTTTTCTATGCCTTCCCTCTGCCATTCAGGAGGGCGTAGGACAAGAGCTCACCAGTTATCTACTTGCTACGAACACCAACCATACTGGGTGGCAAGTGATCAGCTGCCCCTAGAGCGTGAGGGCTGTACCCAGATTTCACAGACAGGCTGTGTTCTGCAGGATGTGGACAACCCCTCATCCTGCCTCCCTGTGCCTGGATTTGGAGACTCATCTGGGCCAGAGGAGAGGGCAGGAGGCTTACATGGCCTTGAGAGCAATGGGAATGCCCCAGGAAGGAATCCAAAGAGGGACAAATGGAACAGAAAGATGAGAGGGCACAGAGATAAGTTTGAAGGAAGGAGGGGGTATGGTGACAGGAGACTTGCTTGGCTCAGATGTCCTTGTGAAAGCAAAATACCAATTTTTGCAATGACTAATTTCACCAGGGAGTGCTCACAGGGGCAGCTGTGGTAAGTCTCCCTTCACACACACACACACACACACACACACACACACACACACGATTTCACTTTTCCAAAGGGTTTTCCTGCTTTGATCCCAACTGCAGCATCACCATGGACTTGGCCTTTAGGGACACCTCTTCCTTCTTTGGGAGCTCTGGTGGCATAGTGCCTAAGGCATTTGCTAACCAGAAGGCTGGTGGTTCAAACCCACCAGCCACTCCTCAGAAAGAAGGTTGGGCAATCTACTTCCGTAGTGATACTGCCTTGGAAACCCAAGGAGGGGTAGCTATGAGTCGGATCCAACGGGACGGCAGTGGGTTTCTTCCTTCTTTAGTACCCCATTGTCCTCAGGAATAGTCCTTAAACTGGGGACACAGATCTCCTGCATCCAAATAACCTGGACAGCAGGTTAAATGTGCATGTTCCCAGCTGTGTTGTAGAGATTCAGATAAAATGAGTGTGGGTTGAGTTGGAATCTGGTTTAACCAGCAACCCAGGTGACCGAGGTGCACTCCAACGTCTGATAATCCCTGTTGTTTATTGACAAACCCAGATGAACACGAAAGGAAATAAGTATAGAAACTACAAACAGCATAAAATATAAATTTGTGATGATAAAATATATTCTAGCTCCCCAAGGCAGAGATGATTTTGCGGTCTTCCAGCCAGGCTTTCTTCCTTCACAGGTCTCAATCCACCACCCTCTTTTTCTACCCTTAAGCAGTTCCAGTGGCCCCTCTTGTTTAGCCCTCCCAAATAAGATGACTCAAAACTTACTAAAACTTAAAACCTTTTAAAGTTAAACTTCTTAGGGCATGGAAAGTCCCTATTCAGTTTCAGTTTTCTACTTGAGGAATCACTTCCTTGGCATATTGTCAAGAATTTACTAATGGACACAATGACTAGTCCTTGAATACCTAGGAAATGTGTTTGTCTGTAGTTGTCTCCCCTGCAGAGGGCACCCTTCTCCCCCTGCTCCCAGGAATGGTCTTAATGGATGCAGGCCCATAGTGGAACACAACTTTATTCATGGATCACAGTGATATTCACATAATAAGAATGAGATGAAGAGCACTTCTCTGTATAGATTAGTGTGTATCAGACAGGAAGCAACAGGAAACTATAGCTCATTTTTATATTGTTCACTGGATTTCTGAAAAGTTGAGTATAAATTGATTTATAACATTTTAATACCCTGTTTCAGATGTGTTCATTTTATCTTTTTTCTGGTCATAATTTGGGTCCAGAGTAATGTGTCAGTCTCCTTGGAATAAGGGAACTCATTTTCTTCCATAATAAAATCAAATGCAATTTTAACAAAATCTGAGCTTGGTGTAGGAGAGAGACTGTCCATCCACATGGGTAAGAGTGGCTGAATATCAGAGTTTCAGCTTCATTATCCAAGATTCACCTTCTCATCAGGGATCATTTACTGGTGGTGGGAGCTACCACCTACTTCCCTGAAAAGAGTTTTTGCACACAATCTGAGAACAGCCTGGCAAGACTTGAGTGACGTCTAGGGTCTGGAGATCTACTTCTGAAAAACCAGCCACTGAAAACCCTGTTCTGATACACATGGGCTTGCCATGAGTCAGAGCTGACTGCAACTGTTGGGTTTTAGGGAATAATGAAAGGAATGCAACACTAAGCTCCCTCACTCTTGGTAACTTGGCTTAGAAAATTTTGCTTTCCTTTGGGCTTTGTGGGTCCCATCAGTCCTTAGTCCCCCCTATAGCTACTGCACTCAGGAGCCCATGGTAAAACATCTACCATCCTCATAAAGAATGAATGTAGAGTTTGGAATTCCTTCTTAGCTTGAGTCTGAGGCCTGTTTTGAGTCGATATCCAAACAAGACCCCACTTCCCCACCTCATCATGGATAATTGGTATGGGAAAGCTCTCATGCCTTTCTTTACAAAAGATTCGGGCCCATATCCTTAGCCTCATCAAGCCAACCATGTTACAAACCAACAGAGTAACCCAACACTCAGGCCAGAGTTATACACATGAACAGTACTGGGCGCTCTCAGAGGGTATCCCCTCCTTGACATCTTTGTGACATCTGACTATGCTGACCACGCCTGCTCCTTTCCATTCACTCATGTCTTGCACTTCATCATCTGAGATACACTGCTTTTCCTTTTTTTCTCTCTGGCCTCTCCTTACAATTTTAACTAACAGTTGCATAGCTCTTCAGGGTGTTACCAAGTACAGTCAGAGACACTGCTCTTTGGACATTATTATTCTCGGGTAAATGAGTTTCTCTTGAAACTGACTCGAGAAGTTAAGGTACTTCCTCATGGTCACTGGGCTAGTTAGTGTCAGAGTTAACATTTGAACTGAGGTCTTTGGACTCTTCGGTCTGCTGTCCTTTTTTTTTTTCCCCCGCTATAGCCCAGCTGTCTGATGTGCCAATTCTTTCATAAAACATCTCCTATCCCTTCTTTTCTACCCCTTGTACTATGATCCTTGTGGTTATGAGGCCCTTATCAACACAGGCTGTTTTTATTTAAACAGCTTCCTGACTGGGAACCTGGCCCTAGTCTTTCTACCACCAATCCATGCTGTTCATGGCCATCCAAGTCACCTTCCTAAAACACTGCTTTCGCTATGGTGGGCCCCAGCACTTGATCTTCACTGGCTCTCTATATAGGATTCTTTAATTATTTCACTCCAAATCAAACCAAACACACTGCCCTTGAGTCAGTTCTGACTCACAGTGACCCCCATTGGTTTTCTGAGGTGGTAAATCTTTATGGAAGTAGATTGCCCCATCTTCCTTCTGCAGAGTGGCTGGTGGGTTTTAACTGCCAACCTTCTGGTTAGCGGTCAAATTATGTCACTGTAGAGTAAAACTCATTACCTTTCTGAGTGTCTACTAAGTGTCAGGTACTGTACTAGTTCTTCAGTTTAATCCACATAACACTCCTACAGGGTAGTCTTCACTGACTTTATTAATAGATAAGAAGAGTGAGGCTTAGGCAGCAAGGGACATGCTCAGGGTTGCAAAATATATTGAGATATGGAATTCAAATCCATGTCAGCTTGTTAACTTCATCTCTTTTCACTGTGTAGAGCATTTTTTGGGTAACTGGCCAAGTTATTGATTGATGGTGATGAGGCCTATGGAAATCATTGAATAATCTTGTGAGTAAAGATTGCTTGTCCCTTGAATTTTTTGGTTTTGTTGTTGATGTTGGACATTTCAGTTCGGCAGAAAGTTCTGGAGAGAAAAAACCATGAGCTAGTATGGCCAGAAAAAGGAACGTTCAAGTTAACTGTGCAGTTGCCCACATCTCCAGATGAAACTTCTGATGTCTCTGGGAGGCAAATTCCAATGGAGGTAAGTAAACTTGAGTGATTAAAAGGGAAGCAGGATGTTCTCCCAAGGTGTGTGGGGTGGGAGTCACAATGAGGGAAATACAGTCCACTGAGAAGAATACAACTGGAATGAGTGAAGAAGTATGAGTGTGGAGGGAGTGGGACAAGTGTGGAAGACTGAGGAAGGGGCACTTTTTGTTTGATTTTATATGCTTTTTTAAAAGTCAAGATTTAAAGATTATAATAATGGTGATTCGGGATGTCAAATGTTGGCTCTGGTTTTTCTGGGTGCTTAGTCACTAGCAGCTTGCTATACTTACTATGTTCTTACATCATTTTGAGGGGACAGTGATCCCTACTACAGGTATTATGGGTTCCCTCAGTTGTAAAATGAGATACTATTTATGTCTATCTCATTGGCTTGTTGTGAGGATTAAATGAGATAACCTCTATAGAACACATAGCACCAGACCAAAAACACCAAACTCACTGCCGTCGATTCAGATCTGACTCATAACAACCCTGCCTTGGTAGTATCACTATGGAAATAGATTGCCCAACCTTCCTTCTGAGCAGTGACTGTTGGGTTTGAACCGCCAGCCCTCTGGTTAGCAGTCAAATGCCTTAGGCACTACACCACCAGAGCTCCTATGCTTGTTATGTAGTACCCATTCAGTAAATGTTCAATAGGGAAAAACCATGAGCTAAACTGATTTAGGTTTCATTGGTGTTAGTTGGGGTATCTGTTAGATGTGTCTTATTTTTACCAACGGTTTTTGTGACCAGTGGATGTGCCACTACATGCAGCCTCAGGCGCATTCAACAGCATCATAGTTTTCATAGTCTCATAGCATCAATAGCTTTTCATAGTTTCTGTTTGCTCTACATCTCCTTGTTGCTCCCAAGGACATTGTCTTAATATAAATAAGTTATTAGAAATTTATTAATGCTTCCTTATATTGTTTGGCTTTTAGGGATCCAAGACCAAAGAAGATGCCAGAGAAGCAGGTAAAGTCTCAGTTAGATGACTGTGACATTCCCTAAGCAGTTTTTCTTTTATTAAAGAAGGCAATTGTGGCAGCCACTCCACCCTTTCTGAAAGCTCCACAGGCAGGGTTTGCATGGAGACATTTGGGGTAGTGTCATCTACATACTCTGAGCCATCAGTGCAGAGGGAGGACTCTGGGGGAACCCCTTGAGGTCTTAGGAGCTCAGGTCAGGAGTGTGAGAGCAGCTCTCTGTGGGAACGCGTAGAGGACAATTGCAGGCATGACAAATAGGTGCCTGGTAGGTGTTGATGAATGACCTTTAGAGCCCACCTGTGCCTGGCTGGACATGAAGAAGCAAGGACGTGACATGTCAGGGAGTTCTGGGTGAGGCTAAGTCAGTTAGCACTGATTTCTGAGCACCAAAATTGCAGGATGCTGGCTGTCCTCTGGAGCCACAAATGGCAGGTATGACTCCTCTGTGGACCAAAGCTTTCCTAGTGCCGGAGGCAGGATACAGGTGCAGCCCTCTGGAGTACCAGAGTACTTCCTCACTCTACACCCTCATCCATCGGCTGTAGGAAACAGCCTCCAACCTAGCAGCTCTTGTAGGGACTCTGCCACTTACCTAGTGTCTGAGGGTTGGTCTGTGTGCCATCTGACATTACCTAAAGAAATGACTAGTTTTTATGACTAAGCATGCTGTTAAAAAGGGCAAAATTGATGAGCTATGTTGAAAGAGCTGAACAACAAGTGATACATACATTTAAATCTTAGGGGAAAAGAATTCCGAAAATGTGTCAATAGTATATGCTAAAATTGAGGGTCTTGAGAATATGTTTAGTTTTTTGTAACTTGATTTTCTTTGAAAATGGCACATTTTTCACTTGGCCAAACTACTGGATAGGTGCATATGGAAAATGAAGGCTAAGATTCTTAAAATTATTTGGTATGAGATAGATAGTTTTCAGAACTGAGCAACATGAGGGTACAGGGTGGTTACCTAATAGGTTTTATATCCAAGGGATGAGAAAAACAGAGAATCTGGCACCTTGCATAAGACACTTGACATGCCTGAAACCCTAAGCAGAAGTTAAAGACTGAGAAATCTGTAGGAGTTGACAGCGGAAGGAAAAGTCAATTAAATCACAACCAACATCAGGGGATATGAGCACTGAGCCAGTGTCTTGTTCCAGGCCAAGCTTAGCTGGCCTGGGCCTGAAAGGTAGAAGCTATTAATAGGAGGAACCTGGAGAAAGAGAGAAGGACAAGAACAGAGATGTATTGGTCACCTGTGGTTGGCACATTCTGGTATTTCTAAATTTATGTCTCCTAGACTGGACACCCTTCTAAGTTAAAAACATTTTGTCTGAACTTCCTGTTGGAAAATATGTTAGAGCCAGCAAGTCAGCTTCCTCCCCAACCGGCACCCTCTTCTGGCTTCCTTATTTCTCCTAAAATACACAACTAATCTTTCCTGTAAGCTTTCAAATCTGTTGGTCACAGAGATCTATCAATTAATTTATTTAAATAGTCCTCATCCATCCCTTCCTCACTCTACACCCTCCCTAGAACATCTTAAATCTAGTGTGGTGAGAGCTCCCTGCTTGCTTTCTGTGTCTGAGATCCTTCTCCTTAAATCTGACCAGCCCTTGGCGCTGTTGCTAAATAGCCTGTTATCCTTTCCCAGAAACCCTCCATGACTCACCCTCCTCACCACCTGTAAGATAAAGCCCAGACCACATTCTGGATTTAACCTGTTTTTCTGGTCTTGTTTCTTACATCTGTGCACATAAGTCCTTTTGAGGCACAATGGTCAAATTGACATTTCCTAAGAGTCTGATGTTTTCCTAGCACTTTACCTTTGCTTCTGTTCGCTCCACTTCCTTCTCTTTATGTAAATTCTAACCATCCTTCCAGATCTGCTCAGCTTTCTCCTCTTTTCTGAAGCCTTTCCAAACCAGCTCAATCTATCTCTTTCTTGGACTCCTAGTTTGACTGTTTATGCTCTTTTCTTGGCAATTAACCAACCTTCTCTTGCGATAAAGTTGCTATAGTGATAGGGCTATAAAAGTATATTGCTGGAAAGACTCTTACAGTGCACTTAATCCAATACCCTTGTTTTATAGTCAAGAGACTTGCCTGATTGACATCACATGGCTAAAGAATGGCAGAGTCAGGGGTTAAACTCATTTAGCCTCACAGCCAGCCCTCATACATGACTCATTTAATGTACTTTATGGTCTCATTTAATCTGTAAATGTTCTCATTTAATGTATTTTTTGTTTGGCATAAGTGTGTAGTGTCATATGCAGCAAATAATAAGTATTTGTCAGGATGATATAACTGCTATAACAAGCCACCCCCAAGATCAGTAACCTAACACAATAAAGGTTTATTTCTCTTTCATATCACTGTTCAACATGGTCAGCAGCTGACGCCTAGTGGAGGAAGTGTAGTCTGCTCACACAGACACTCAGGAACTCAGGCTCTTTCCATTTTCTGACACCATTATCTTTAGTTTGTGGCTTCCAAGGTCACTGCAGGGGAGATTGGGGATTCATAAACAGGAGATTATTAGTATTGGCCAGGCCTGGAAGTAGAGTTCATCCCTTTCACAGATATTCAATTAACCATGTGAACTGTACTGTAGGAATTGAACTGTAGAAGTCTGAGAAATGTTGCCTAGGAAGGAAACAAAAAGAATTTGGTGAACACAGCATTTTCCTCTACCAGAAACATTTGCAAATGTCAGTTCCCTTTCTCAGTTTTTTGGTACACCTCCAGTAGAAAGTTGGTAAGTTCCTTATCTGGTGGTTTTTATATTCATTCTTCTCTAAATACCCAATATCTTGAACATAACAAGGGCTCCAATTGAGTAATTGCTCATAGAGTGTCTGAAGGCCAAGTATAAGCACATGCTTCAGTGGACAACCATGTTGTTTCTGGTAGGTGCCATTGAGTCAGCTCTGACTCACAGTGACCCCATGTACAATAGAACCAAACACTGCCTGGTCCTGAGCCATCCTCACAGCTGTTGCTATGCCTGAGCCTATTGTTGTAGCCTCTATGTCATTTCATCTCATTGAGGGTTCCCCTTTTAAGCTGACCCTCTGCTCTACCAAGCATAATATCCTTCTCCAGTGCTAGTCCCTCCTGATAACATCATCAAAGTATGAGAGACAAAGTCTGGTCATTCTCCCTTCCTAGGAGCATTCTGGCTGTACTTCTTCCAAGACATTTTCATTTTTCTGGCAGTCCATGTACATACAATATTCTTTTCCAACACCACGATTCAAATAAATCATTTCTTCTTCAGTCTTCCTTATTCATTGTCCAGCTTTCACATGCATATGATGTGACTGAAAAGACCATGGCTTGGGTCAGGTGCACTTTAGTCTTCAAAGTGACTTCTTCACTCTTTTAACACTTTAAGAGGTCTTTTGCTGCAGATTTGCCCAATGCCATACATTGTCTGATTTCTTGACCACCACTTCCATGTGCACTGATAGTTGATCCAAGTACAATGAAATCCTTGACCACTTCAATCTTTCCTCCATTTATTGTGATGCAGCTTATTGGTCCAGTTGTGAGGATTTTTGTTTTCTTTATGTTGAGGTATAATTCATACTGAAGGCTGTAGTCTCTGATCTTCATCCGTGAGTGCTTCACATCTTCATTTTCAGCAAGCAAGGTTGTGTCATCTGCATATCGCAGATTGTTAATGAGTCTCTCTTCAATCCTCCAGTCGTTCTTGTTCATATAGTCCAGTCCCTTGGATTATTTGCTCGGCATACAGATCAAATAAGTATGGTGATGGACAAGCATAGACATGGAAAATATGTCAGCTGGGGCAATTGGCATTCAGTGAACTTGATATGTAAATACAGATCTTTAGTACATTTTATCTTCTATGTATATTCCATAGTCAGTCACTGCAAATATTCTTTTTTCCTTTTAGTGATGGAAGCTTACTGCTTCTCAGGAGTGTCATATATTAGGTGATGTCCATATTTGGGCATCATCAAATATTCTTGCTTTCCTTCAATAGACCAAACAGCAAATCTCCAATTCAGCAGCCATTTATTGGACCTCAACTATGTACCATGTCCCAGCAATACAAGGGTGTATTAACATGAACCTTGATTTTTAACACTCAGTTTAATAACTATAATATAGTACTATGTTAGAAATAAGTACCAAGTGCTCTGAAGGTTAAGGCAGGTTTGTCAGGGAGACAAGGCAGAAAGGTTGTAACAGAATTTAACCTAATAATAAAGAGCATTTCAATGCTGCATTTTATTTTTGATTACATAAAGCAGAAAGCTTTCTAAGATCTGCTTTTATTTGAGCTAGTGAAGACATCGATATAGGACAATAGTGAAAGATAAGGGCAGTGTCTTACAATACCATGGTTGTTGTTGTTGTTATGTGCTGTCGAGTTGGACCCCATTCATAGCAACCCCTTCTTGGGTTTCTGAGGCAGTATCACTATGGACGTAGATTGCCCAACCTTCCTTTCGAGCTCAATACCATGGTAAGTAATATAATATCTTGTCCTCTTTTTTCCTCTTAGACTCAGATGTGCCAGAAGAACTGGATACAAAAGCTGAAAAAATAGAAACTATCCCCAAAGAATGTGAAAATATTTCATCTTTGGTTGCACTTGAAAATCTCAAGGAAAATGTGACTGACATTATGTTAACATTGTTAGTGGAGAACATAAGTGGCCTGTCAGCAAACAATGATGACTTTCAAGTGGAATTAATACGAGAATTTAATGTTGCTGTAGTTACCTTTAAAAGACAAATAGGTAAGAGCGAGTAACACTTCATTGGGCAATCTTCTTAGGAACTTGGGAAGGAGCCCTAGTGGCGCAGTGGTTAAATGCTGTGCTGGTAGCAGAAAGGTCAGCAGTGGTTTGACCCCACCAGCCACTCTGGGGGAGAAAGCTGAGGCAAGTTTGCTTCTATAAAGATTTCAGCTTTGGAAACCTTATGGGGCAGTTCTACTCTGTCTTGTAGTGTCATTGTGAGCCCAAGTCGAATCAACAGCAAATGGGTTGGGATTTGAGATACCCAACTAATGGAACATCCCTGAAAGTTTCACTTCTTCTAGTAGCTCATAAGTTAACATAGATGCTTTTTGTTATTTTGAAAGAGAAGGAAATTTGTTTTGAAACCAGATTCTGGTACACTTACTACATGATAGAACTTTATTGTATGAATTCTTTAAGTGTGTATGTTACTATACCCAAAAAGAAATCTAAAATCTAAGGTTATTAAAGTAATTCCAAGTTGTAGAATCAGCATTTACACTTGTGTTATCTCATTGGGAAAAAGAAATATTGATCACTGTTACCAAAATGGACTACTGGAAGGTAAAAGTAATAGTAAACACTCATGTAATACTTACTATAAATCAAGTACTATGTCAAGCTTATTATATGTATTAAATCATTAGTTCCTTTCAATAACGTTATGACAATAACCTTATCCCCGCTTTACAGTTGAGGAGACAAAGGCTCAGAGATGCTAATAAATGGAAAAATGAGAATTTAAACTCAGGCAGCCTCACTCTACAGCTTGTGTTCTTATTCCTTTTGTCATATATTTCCTTAGTACCTTTGAGAGCATTCTCACATGCAGCAACAAGTGCATGCAGTGTAAAAAATGACTGCTCTTTTAGGTCACTGGAGGGAGTCGGTGGACAATCTGAGGTGGGGAAGTATCACCTCCACTTGTAATAAAGAAATTTCCCAATTCCAACCCATCACTCTTCCATAGCCATGGCAACAGAGTGGTTAATTAAGAGCACAGGCCTTGGAGTCAGAGTTCTAGCTCTGCCATTTAAATAGTGACATGAGGTTGGCCAAGTTACTACTCTCTGTTCCTTAGTTTCTTCATCTGTGAAATGGGGCTATTAATAACTACCTAATACAATTTCTGTGAGGATTAAATGAGATGTTTAAAAAGCACTTAATATAGTCCCTATACATGATAAGACTCAATAAAGGGAGCCATTATTATTTCAAATTTATGATTATTCCTTCTAAGGTAAAACTACATGGACTTGCTTTCGTTAACTGATCAACAATCTTGAGCATCTCCATGTACCAGTTTCTGGTCTAAGTGCTGTGGGTACAGAGATGAGTAAGTCACGGTTCCTGCCTTTGAGGAACTCACAGCCTGAGGGCAGGGAGGGAAACCCATTTGCAAATGAAATGGAAGTACAAGAGGTGATGATGAAAATGAGAGGAAGAAGGACCAAACAAGTTAACTTAGGGCCTTGACGAACCTGCTTCCTCCTATGAAGTTTACACTCCAGCAATACCAGTTGATCAAGTTCACAATGTCTTTTATGTTTATGTGTCCCTCTGCTTGAAATGTCTGCCCCCTCCTTATCTATGGGGTAACCCCTTTTCATCTTTCACAACCAGAATAGAGACCATTTACTCTGGGAATCCTTCTCTGATTCCCAGTATCAATTTTCCCACCTCGTTTGTTTGCTTTCAAGATGTCCTCCTTCACAGATGGTAACTTTCTGAGGGGAAGGACTTGTCATACTATCTCTGTATCTCCAGAGCATAACATAGTACCCAGCACATCATGGGTCCCTTGTCAATATTTTTTAATTTGAAAGAGACACTTGGCTTGAATCCTGAAGGATGAACAGGACCAGGATAAGATACTGGAGAAGGGCATTCTAGGCATAGAAAGTTGTGTCTATAAAGGCAAAAAAGAATCGGAGTTTTCAGAAATCATGACTAGTTTTTTGTGACAACATGGAAAATAAAATGAATGGCAAGGAATAACCAGAGATGATTGTTGAAAATTCCTTTGGAGCCGAATAGCAAAGGCCTGGCTATGGAGTGTGAACTCATACCTCCAGATAATGGGGAGCCATCAAAGGACTTGAGAAAGGAGTGAAATGAAATGATGAGATTTGCGCTGTTGAGAGGGCCCTCAGGTAGCAGTGTCTAGGTGGGTTGGGGAGGGCTATTACTGTAGACAGGAGCGCAAGCTCAATGGCAGTAACCAGGTAAGATATTCGTATAACATGTGCATCATTGTTTAGATGTGTAAGTTCTCATATAGAAATCCAAATCTTAAAACTAAAAATGGAGTGCTTAGCTTGTCCCCTTTTATCTTAGTTAATATTCAGACACTTTCTTCTATATAATACAAATCATTACCATAATTTTCTAATTTTTTTGTTTGTAGATGTCATAAAATTCATTGATGATTGTGCCAAATATCATTCAGCTAAACTACTTCAGCTTTCTGCAAGACTTCTGGAAGTGACAAAAGTCATCAGGGTTGAAAACCTACCACCTGGTGTTGAAGAATATTACTTAAAACTTTTCTTTGAAAGTCACCATAAAGGAGGGGGAAGAGTTGACAGTGTTAAATACTTTGATAAAGAGAGTTCAGCTCTGATTGAATTTTCTGACAGAAAAGGTAATACTATCTATTGGCTTGATTTGATAAATCATACCTGGTGTGATTAGCAGTTGCCAATTGAATTCTGATGCATTTTATTTATTCATTCACATATTTCATTAGAAATCTAATTAACAATCTTATATATCTGGGGTACAATGCTTAACAAGTCCAGTGATTCTAACTTATGAAGACGGCAACATCAAGATCTTGGAAAATGTAAGGAGATTCCTTCATGAGATTCTCTACCTGTGCTGGATTGAGAAGTCTATATAATTAAAAAAAAAAAAAAACCTCACTGCTGTCGAATCTATTTGACTCATAGCAACCCTTCCTTGGGTTTCTGAGGCGGTATCTCTATGGAAGTAGATTGCCCAATCTTCCTTCCAAGGAGTGGCTGGTGAGTTTGAACCACCAGCCTTCCTCCAGAAGGAAGACTGGGCAATCTACTTCTGTAGAGATACCACCTTGGAAACCTAAGGAGGCATCACTATGAGTCTAATCAACTTGATGGCAGTGACTTTGGTTTGGTTTGTTTATTCTACAAATGAGGCATCGAATGGTTAACTGTCTTGCCTAAGGTTACACAGTTAGTATATAACAGAGCCAAGATTTGAATCTAGGTAGTCTGGTTTTATAATCCATGCTCTTAATATTTCCACTTTCCCCCAATCTCTTCACCTAAAGCATCACTTTTTCTTGTAGGATAATTACCACTTACAATGGGCCACCAATAATGAGGCAATCTCTACAGGGCTCTTGATTAAAAACAATTTATTTAGTAATATTGCATTTTATATCTGTCACTTGAGAGGAATAGATAATGTACTTAAATTACCATTAAATTATATGTTCAAATTCACAGTATCATTTATTTTTTAAGGAAGGAACTCTTATTGAACACCTATTTCATGAGAGATCTTTTGCTATGCTTTCTACCACCATATCTCACTGAATCCTCATAATTTTCATGGTTAGATAATATTACTCTCTCTTTATAGACAAGGAAACAGGATGGAGATCTTAAGGCACATTAAGGTAGTATGTGTGATGGTTCTCAGGTCAGATAGAACTGAGTTCAAGTCCTGGCTTTGCTACTTTCTAGTTTCATGATCTCAGGCAAGTTCCTTTAACCCACCCAAACCTCTCATTTCTAACATGGGCCTTGTATGACTACTTACCTTAGAGGACTATTGTGAAGATTAAACGAAAAAATACCTGTACAGTGCCAAGGCACATGGTGAATGTTCAGCATGTGCTAGTGGTCACTGTTACTACCCCAGGCTTCAGAACCCTATGGGCCATGTTGAGAAGTTGAAGCTGTGTGTTTGGACCTCTGAAGTCCATGGTTCATTTTATTATGCATGGTTCCAGCTCCAGGAACCAAGCACACACAAGAGAAATTATTCTCAACATCTTTCCAAGAAGAGTTGTGTTTCAGTCCAAGTTATCCCTGGAGTTCATTGTTCTTAACCCTTCCTTCTTGGACCCCTGCATAACACTAAAACAAAATGAAGAGTTGTTTAGAGGTGTGAAAAGAGGACACACACACAGAGCAGGGTTTTCCTAGTAAAAGTGCAGGAGGGAGTGCAGATTCCCAGACATCAACTCCGGACTTACTGAGTAAGTATCTCTGGAGCACTGAACAGAATTTCTCCATAGAACAGTCTTAGCTTAGAAGTAATTATTCCATTTAATAAGGGATTCCTACTCAGTATGAGGAGCCCTGGTGTCACAGTGGTTAAGTGCTCAGCTGTTAATCCAAAAGTCAGTGGTTTAAACCCACCAGCTATTCCTCTGGAGAGAGATGCTGCATTCTGCTTCTGTAAAGATTTATAGCCTTGGAAACTATGGGGCAGTTCCTTTGTTCTGTGGGGTCACTGTGAGTCGGAATCTGACTCAATAGTCATAAGTTGTTGGGTTTGTTTCTGGTGGACTATCAATACATATCAATTGAGCACTCTGAGAGTGGTGTTATTTTTTAATAAATTGTAAAATCAAAGTTCTATAAACATAGCATTCCCCCCCCCCAGAATAGGAATGCTTTTATTGATTTAAAACATATTATGTTGAGATTAATTTTTTCCTTTCTTTCCTTTTAAGTGTTAGACACCATCATGACCAAGAAACTTGTCTTCAATAACATGCCGCTTTCTGTGTTCCCATACTATCCTTCTTTGGGCACAGCCTTGTATGGCAAAGAGAAGCCTCTGATCAAGCTCCCAGCACCATTGGAATTGTCATTGGCTCTTCCTGTATGGAAATTCTTACAGAGAAAGAATCACCTGATTGATGAGATAAATGATGAAATGGGACATTATCATTGTGAGCTAACATGGTCCCAAGTCAGCGGTAGTGTCACTATCAGGCCTGCAGCCACCTTAGTCAATCGAGGAAGACAAAAAGTCTATACTTGGACTGAAGAAGTTTCCACAGCATTCTCTGTCATCATATCTAAATATCAAGTTATCACACTTCATGTGGACCCAATAGTGTGGGACAACATAAAAAATGATTTAGAAGATGACAGGGTATTGACTGAGTATGAGCCACTTGAAGAATCAGTAACCTTTGTGGGGAAATCAGAGGATGTACAAAGCATTGAGCCACAAATCAAGAAATTAATAGAAAGTACTATCCAAAAAATTAAAAGGGAAGAGCAAAGCCTGGAGGAAAAAGTGGCTATTTCTCCAGAAAGATACTCTCTTTTGTGCCATAGTGGCTTACTGGAGGATCTATGCCAAGAGTTAGAAATTTCTTACTATGCAGGTACTGGACACATGTGCCTTAAAGGACTCCGTGCTGATGTGTATAAAGGGAAGTGTGAAATTCAGGAAAAGCTACACACCATGGTTCAGAAAAGCATTCAGTTTCCCCCTGAGGTTTTCCAATTTCTGCAGCAAGTAGACTGTAAAGAATTCTCTAAGTCTCTTTTTATAGCAAAGAAGATCCTTGCCGTTTATGAGCTAGAAGGTACAGCTGTGCTCCTAACCAGCTGTTCGCCTGAAGTTCTACGAGAAGCTGAGAAGCAAATGGTCAGTGCCTTGAGTTATAAACGCATTGAAGTGGAGGACAGCCAAGTTCTTAATGATAAGAGATGGAAAAGGCACATTTGCAATCTGCATAAGAAACACAATTCCTCCTCAAAAACTGTGATCATCAGTGAGTTAACTTTAAATACCACAGCTGAGGTCGTTATTGCGGGCTGTGTGAGCAAAGTAAATGAAACCTATGGCTTGCTTTTTGACTTTGTAGAAAAACACACAAAAATAGAAAGAATGATTGAACTAAAGCCTTCCGTACTTGTTCCATATTTAAGGGCAGAAAAGTTTATCTGGTCAAAGATAAAGAATGGAAATGTGCGAGCAATTTTCAATCCTGAGAACAAAGAAAAAGGCATTTTACTAATTGGCCCCAAAACCGAAGTCCTGGAGGGACTGAAGACCATCAAGCAAATCCAGGACTCAATCTGTATTAAAAGCATTTGCATTGATAAACCAGGAGCCAACCACTTCTTCCGGGACAAAGAGCGGTATTATAAAAGTGAGGCCAGGCGGCAGTTTGGTTGTTTCATTGAGCTACAGGAAGATGAAAAAAAGGAGGAGGATGGCAACACAGTTGGGAAGCAGTGCTGTGCTCGGGCAACCTTAGCGCCTGGAATCTCGCTGCTGGTCCAGCGGGGCGACTTGACACAGTTTCCCGTAGAGGTGGTGGTGAATGCAGCGAATGAGAACCTCAAGCACATTGGTGGCCTTTCCGCCGCTCTTTTAAAAGCTGCTGGCCCTGAGCTCCAATCCAGTTGTGACCAGATAGTGAAGAAGAAGGGCAGGATCCTAGCTGGCAATGCTGTCATCTCAAAAGCAGGAAAGCTGCCATACCGCCACGTGATCCATGCAGTTGGGCCCAAGTGGATGATGGATGAGGCCCCAAGGTGTGTGTACCTGTTAAGGAAAGTGGTGGGAGAAAGTCTTCGTTTGGCTGAAAAACACAAGTACCAGTCCATAGCCATCCCAGCTATTAGTTCTGGAAAATTTGGCTTTCCCTTACACAAGTGTGTGACAACCATTGTTTCGGCCATCAAGGAAAACTACCAATATGACAGAGATGGCCGTTCCTTGAAAGAGGTTTACCTTGTGGATTTATCTGAGAAGACTGTTGAGGCTTTTGCTGAAACTGTGAAAACTCTGTTTAAAGACACAGTGCCTGATAATGCTTCCCTGCCCAGGGCACCAGCAGCAGACCTGAGGAAAGATCATCAGGGGAACAGCAACACTCTGACGTCCCCTGAAGGCCTAAGAATCCATCTGGTGAGAGGAGATGTGCAAGATGTGAAAGTGAGTGTCCCTGTTTGCACACTCCACCTGTGACTTCCAAATGGCCCCTTGCTTTCTTCTGGGGGCAAAGTTGAGACTGTATTACGTGGGGATATCCAGGGAGAGAATTCCATACCTTCTTTCCCAGCTTGAAACAGGGGCTCACTTAGATAAATGAGCTACTTCACCAAATCATTTACTAAAAGATTGGCTGGTTATTTCTGGGAAATACAAGTATATTCAGGTTGGATCACCAGTAAATGTGAAATCATACTAATACCTTATATTTGCACCATTCGCCATGCCTCTTCAGTGACTTTAAGGCTGTCATATGGTGGCAAATCTAAGGTTAATTTCTTGTCAGGTAGCAGTTATAGAAAAATTAGAGTGTGAGGCAGGCAGAGAACAGAAACCTTGCTAGTTGAGCCAAGCATGGTTGGTTCAGAGTCTGAGGGACCATCCGCATTCAGTGAGGGTTTGTGGAAAGTGGACCTGGGAAAGGTCTGGGCATTATGAAGGGATGGTTTTAGTTCTGCTAAGGAGGTGATATATATTTTTAAAAAATGTATTTATCAATCTGTTCAACACAGACCAATCAGAACAACAGGGTCTGGAAGCCTAGTTATGCCAGATGATGATGCTTTATTTGGGAGTTGTAGGGAGTTCTGAGAGAGGAAGGTCTAGGTGGCATGAGCACAGGTGAGGTGAAGAGATGTACTTATTTATAACAGCCAGTAGAGACAATTGTCTGTATTTTAATAACTGGCTGGACCATTCCAGTGAATATTAGTCCTGGCTTTCCTCTGCCCACTCAAGGGGGAGTACTCAGGGCACAGAGAATCTGGGATGTGGGCTTGGTGAATTCCCACCTTGCCCCCCACATTTCTACTACACTCTTTTGTACTCCACTTTTTAATAGGGAGATTTGTTTAACAAGTTTCTTAGCACAATAACAAAAATCACAATTCAGTGGAAGTTTTAATCAAGGCCTGAATGTTTTATATAAAGACCATGATCAAAGTCCTAACGTATCAACATTGAGTGTCACTTGTCATTGTTTTAAATGGAAAACACAATTGGCTATGTTCCACAGGATATTAGATAAAGTGAATTAGATCTCACGCACTTGCCAGGTGCTTTGCTTTGAGTTGTTTTATAAGAAAGTATCTCTAAGCAGCTATCCAAACAGTGTCCAGTACAGTGTGGTAAAATGTGACATAATGGAAACTGCTTCCACCAGAATACTTTTTCTGTTTACCATTTTCCTACAGAGCATGTGTCTTGAAAAAAGCTAGATATTTTTTTTTTTTTAACAGTCATGGTCAGTCATCTTTCTTTTTGTATAAAAAGCTTTATTGAAGTATAATTTACATACCATACTCATTAAAATATACAGTTCAATGGCTGTTGGTATATTCACAGAGTAATGCAGCCATCACCGCAATCAATTTTAGAACTTTTTCATCCCCCGCAAAAGAATCTCCAGATGCTCTGGTAGTCACATCCCCACTACTTACCCCTTCCTGCCCACGCCCAGGCCTAGCGAGCCAGAAATCTAATTTCTGACCAATGAATTTGCCTATTGTGGTCATTCCATATAAATGGAAATGTATTACATGCCCTCTCTGTGTCTGGCATCTTTTACTTAGCATCATGTTTTCAAGGTTCAGCCATGTCTTTGCATGCTTCAGTGCTATATTCATTTTTAATGGCTGACTTATATTCCATTGTATGGACCACCACATTTTGTTTATCCACTCATCAGCTGATGGACTTTTGGACTGTTTCCACTTTTGACTATTGTGAATAATACTGCTATAGACATTTCTGTAGAAGTCTTTGTGTAGACATATGTTTTCAATTCTCTTGGAAGTGCTAGCTAGTGTATACCTAGCTGGATCATATGGTAACTTATGTTTAATATCTTGAGGAACTACCAGATTGTTTTCCAAAACAGCTATGCTGTTTTACATTCCCCCCAGCAATGTATGAGGTTATAGTGTCTCCACATCCCTACCCCTCAACACTTCTTCTGTGGACTCTTTCAGCTGTCCCATAACATTTTATATAATGTTTTTTGACAGTTCTTAATTTGTCATACCATGTTATTAAAATACCATGTGGCTATAGTCTCAGATGTTTTAGTCTCTGAAACCCTAATAATCTTCCTCTTCCCCTATTGTGCCATAAGAACTGTACTATATTCTTGATGAATGCTTCTTGTTAGAATTTGAAACAAATTGTTGGTTTTGTTTTTAAGACTGATGTTGTTGTCAACTCCATTCCCACGGATCTCACGCTTAATAGAGGACCCCTTTCTCGGGCTCTCTTAGCAAAAGCTGGGCCAATGCTCCAGGAAGAGTTGAAAGAAGTCAGTCAAAAGGTGACAGTCAAGGTGGGCACAGTTCTCAGAACCACTGGTTGTAATCTACACTGCCAGCATGTGCTTCACGTGGTGCCTCCAGAGTGGGGAAATAACAGCATATCTTCACAAAAGGTGGGCCTGGTTTTAAATTCTCTGGAAAATTGGGTAACCCTTTGGACTCTCCTTCCAGTGTATTGTAGCTTGGATTATGTCGGTTTCTCTTCTGTAGTAATGTGACATTCTTGGCAGGTTCCATATGGCCATTTCTTTCAGTTGTAGCTGACTTCTCCTGAGGACTACATAATAATATAAATAAATTAGAGTTCTTAATAATTATGGGGGAGCTCTGACAGCATAGTGCCTAAGGCACTTGACTGCTAACCAGAAGGCTGGTGGTTCAAACCCACCAGCCATTCCTCGGAAGGAAGGTTGGGCAATCTACTTCCATAATGATACTGCCTCGGAAACCCAAGGAGGGGTTGCTATGAGTCGGGGCCGACTCGACGGCACATAACAATAGCAACAACAATAATTATGGGGGCTCAGGAAAGGGTATTGAAAATAAAACTTTAGTGAGGAAAGGGAAGTGAGCATATGAAGAGTGGAAGAGAATTTAGGGTAAGAATAACAGTTGCTTTGGCTCTTCTCATCATTGCTCTTCTCATCATTTTGAAGAGTCCTTCACTTTCCCTTATCCTTTTCCTCATCTCACTCACTCTCACTGCCTTCCTTGGGTTTCCAAGGCAGTATCACTATGGAAGCAGATCACTCAGTCTTTCTTCCAAAGAGTGGCCTGTGGGTTTGAACTGCCAGCCTTCTGGTTAGCACTCAAATGCCTTAGGCACTATGCCACCAGAGCTCCTTTTCCCTCATCTACTCATATTTTTTCCTTCCCCTTCTGGCTGGCTATAGACTTCTATTAAAACCAACAAAGTAGACAGACATCACAGAGTTGCTAAATGCTTGTTCTTTTTGTTCTAACTCCTGTTTCTAAGCTGGTAGTTATAAGCTTTGTGCTTATAAATTTGTGCTTATATTTATGTGCTTTGTGCTTTTCAGGTCATGGAAGACATAATCAAAGAGTGTTTGGAGATCACTGAGAAGTTGTCTTTAAAATCAGTTACATTTCCAGCTATAGGAACAGGAAATTTGGGATTTCCTAAAACTATATTTGCTGAACTAATCATTTCAGAAGTGTTCAAATTTAGTAGCAAGAATCAGCAGAGAGCTTTGGAAGAGGTTCACTTTCTGTTATACCCAAGTGATCATGAAACTATTCAGGTACGGTCTCAGTCCTTATTCTGGCAAATGAGCCCTAATGTTCTCAAATGTCTTCTTGGTCTAATAAGTTGCTTTTTTCAAGTATTATTCATACAGAAAAGTATGGGAGGAGTGTAAACTAATTATACCAAAAGCCAAACCAAACTTATTGCCATTGAGTTGATTCTGATTCAGAGCAACCCCTGTTGGGTTTGCAAGGCTGTAAATCTTTACTGAGGTAGATCACCCCATCTTCCTTCCATGGAGCAGCTGATGGGCACTGACTTTCTGGTTAGCAGCAAATACCTTATCCAGTATGCCACCAGAGTTCCTTTAAACTAATTATAGCATGACAAATTTCAAACAAATTTATGGATATGGAAAAACATTAACTTCTTATTAGTGAAAATTTCAAACATAGACAAATATACACAAAAATGTATAATGAACCCACTTGTATCCATCACTCAGTTTCAAAAATTATTCAATTATGGACTATATTGTTTTATCTCTATATCCATTTATTTCCCTTCCTTTCATATTATTTTGAAGCAAAGCCCATACATATCTTTCACCCATAAATAATTCAGTATTTATTTTAAACAATAAAGATTCTTTTAAAAAAGAAACAACCACAATACTGTACCTTATGTAATATAAAAGCATAGTTGTAGCCCTATCAGTAGGAAAATGCCAGGGTGGGATAAAACCGAAGGATGTGATTAGAATGAACTCACAACATCAAGACAGGAGGAGCAGTAGAGTTGGAACCAGAAATACCACAACCATCTTCATTTGTGGAGAGTCCATCAACCAGCTCACATTTATTGAGCACCAGCTGTGGGTGATACACTGGACATTTATGTTTCAACAAGAGACATCTGTTCTGGTTACCTAGTGCCAGTCTGACAAGAATATACCACAAATGGGACAGAAGTTTATTCTTTTACAGTTTGGAGTCTTTAAGACCAAGTTCAAAGTGCCAGGCTCTAGGGGCTGGGTGAAAGCCCCTCAAACTTTGGGTCCAGCTCTGTCTTCTGCTCCTGGCCCACTGGAGCTAGAGGTGTTTTTTCACTCAGACAGCTGCTGGCTGCTGAGGCTGAGAAGCCCACGGTTGACAAGTAAAAAGGCACAGTCCCGATGTTACCAAACCACATGGAAGGACATTAATTCAAGTCCATTGTAGTCCAAGGTCGGCAGAGCATGGCAGGCTGTTGAACAATGACACAGCTACGTGCAGGGTTCAAGCATGTCATATGCTAGAGACCATTCCCCAAGGCTTCTGCTTATATACAGGAAGCAGACCACAGTCCCTAAGACAGCTACTCAGCTGTTCACGGTAGATTCCACCATGGAGTTGATTATCAGTCTCATCATGGGGAATACTACATCCAGCTGCCTAGCCATTAAACCAGGCCCAGCCAAGTTGACACACAAACTGAACTACCACAACATCTAAGCCGTTATCACTGTCCTCCAAGACCTTACAATCCAGAGGAATAGATGGTGTGAGGTGTTTGAAAAGTTTACTGATACCCCAAGAATTAAACAGATTAAGACCAGCAAACCAAGAGATTTCCATGGAGCATTGGACCATCTGAAATTTTAGGTTGTACTTTTATTTGCTTTCTTTGGAAGCAAGCAAATCTAACCTAAATTCTAATCAGGAGGCCAAACTGCATGAGCAAAATATGTGGTCTGTTTAGCTGACCTGTATAGTTGCTTTTATTCAATAAATGCTTTTGAACAACCTTCCAGTGACTTACATTATGTGAAATGATGTGGATCATGGAACAGGTTAAGTAACACATTCCATTTCCTCCTGTAAATCATAAATACTTTGAAAGTCAAGATTTATACACATAAAACTATCTAAATTAGGGGCACTAAATCTCCCAAGGCACTTGACTGCTAACCAGAAGGCTGGCAGTTCAAACCCACCAGCCACTCCTTGGAAGGAAGATGGGGCAATCTACTTCCTTAGTGATACAGCCTCAGAAACCCAAGGAGGTGTCGCTATGAGTCGGGTCCAACTCGACAGCACATAACAACAACAACAACAAATGCTGAGAGTGTTTAGCAAGAGTAATCCATCTCTGCTTTATATCTACTACCAAACATAGTGCCTGGCACATAGGAAGGGCTCAGTAAGTATTTATTGAATGAATGGATGAGTGGATAGGTGAGTGAATCCTGTGAAGTGACCTGAACCTTTTAGAAAAGAAGTTGCAAAACAGAAGCTGTGATCTGAATATGGCCTCGAGAATGTGTTTTGTTTTGGCTATTAAATATTTAAAAATAATCTGTTACTAACATCTAAAAAAAAAAAAAAATCACATAAAAATCCAGATGTCCACTGTGACCTAAAATTCACAAGTTCTGGTGTATTGGATATGAATTTCTGCTTGGCACTGTTTGCTGTGGCCAAGTTGCAGGTGCTCTCTAATTCTCCAGGGTTGAGCCATCTACTGCACACAAGTAGCTGGCCTTTGGAGGCCTGAGATTTTGAGACCCTTGTTGTATCGCTTCTCCTGGTTCCTCTGCCCTCATTGGGTCAGTCTTTTAGCCAAGATGGTCTCTGTTTTCCCCAACAAAGTTTTCTGTTGCTTATTTACAAGGAGGAAGAAAGTTGTCATTACAAGGCAAAGAAATGAAATGTATAGGTTCTTTAATCCTAGAATACATGCACTAGCCCCTTGCTCCAAAAGGTACCACTACCTTAGCCTTTTGTCTCCTGGTATGAGTAAGTTGAAGACTAGTGTTTGGGACCTTGTGATTGTCTTTCTCTTAACACTGTATTTTCTACTACTCACAAGTTACTTGCTTTTACTCTTAATGAAAGTAATATGTGTTCATTGTAAAAGCTTTGTACAGTACAAAGTATGAATTCTTTTAGTTGTATTTTATTCCAGTCTTCTTTTATACATGTACACTTTTTAAAGTGGCATTATATATGCAATGCTTGATATCCTTTTTTTTTACTTCATATGAAATGAACATTTGCCTATTCCATTAAATATTCTTTGAAAAATATGATTTCTATTAGCTGCTAAGTATTCCAACACATAGATATAGCAAATTGTTTTCCTATTGAACTTTAAAACTTTGTTTTCTCTGTTATAAGTAGCAGTGTAACAAACTTCCTTTCTATTTATGTCTTTGTTCACACCACTGATAGTGTTCTGAGAATACATTTGTATAGATACAATGATATATATTCTTTTTGTAACTTTAGAAATCAATAATGAAAATAAATAATACTGCTTGAGAATTCTTCTAAATATGTGTGCAAGAAGCCCTGGTGCCACAGTGGTTAATGTACTTAGCTACTAACCGAAAGGTCTGTGATTTGGAGAAAGATGAAGCAGTCTGTGTCCATCAAGATTTCAGCCATGGAAACCCTCAGAGGCAGTTCTACACTGTCCTAAAGGGTCACTAGGAGTTGAAATCAGCTCAGTGGCAATGGGTTTTTGAAATATGTGTGCATGCTGCATCTGAAGACTGGTGATGAAATTCATGCATTTACTGAGGATTGTAGTGGTCAAAACTGTGTTTGTATTTTCAGGCATTTTCAGATGAATTTTCCAGAAGGACTAATGGAAATCCTGTCAGTGACAAAATTCCCAAGGCTGAAAATACACAAGGTTCAGTAAAGCTTGCAATTAAGGAATTATTTCTAGTTGCTAAGTAACTATTCAGTAATAGATGAAAGAAGGTAATGATGATATTTATTTAAAAAGTCAATTAGTGATAAGTAAGATATGAAATTCCATATGCCTGAGTATGCAAGAAACTTGCTGAATTCATGTGACCTGGAGACAAAGAGAAGGCAGGCCAATTTATATAATCCATGCAACAGTTTTTAAGTAGCGATGAGACTACTGTTTTCTAAGGATGATGTGACATGTGTTTCTAGAAATAGACAAACATAGAATGAAAATACCAACCAAATGCATCTCCTCTGCCAAATTTTTCTGAGACAATGTGGAAATGACTACTCTTATCTTGAATTTATCCTGCTTGGAGGTTCTCTGAGGCTTCTTGAATCTGACAGTGTATGTCTTCCATCAAACTTGGAATTTTTTCGGTCATTATTTCTTCACACTTTTTTTCTGTACTGATCTCTTTCTCTCACCTCTTTCTGGAACTCTGAAACTATGAACATTAAACCTTTTAATGGTGTTCTACAGGTCCCTGTGGACCTTTTGTTTTTAATCTCTAAACTTTGTGCTCTCTGGTTTTTAGATTGGATAATTTCTGTTGCTCGTCCTTCAACTTCAGCGACTCTTTTCTCTGTCTTCTATACTATACTATTGAGATCATCCAGTGAATTTTTTTCTTTCAGGTATTACATATTTTCAGTTCTAAAATGTCCATTTTCATATATTTTATACATATATATATGTGGATATATGGATAAATAGATTTCTCTTCAAAGAGCTCCTATTTTTCATTCATTTCAGTGATTACTTTGACCTCAGGGAGTATAGTGATAGTAGCTATTTCAAAGTCTTTGATAATTCCAGTATCTAGATCAGGTTGGGCTTGGCATCTGTTGATTATCCTTGAAAATTGGTCACATTTCCCTGGTTCTTTGTATGGTGAGCAATTTTAGATTCTGGGTCCTGTTAAAATCCTCTGGAGAATGATTATATATATGTATATATATATGAGAGATATTATATATATATATATAGATAGATAGATAGATATATAGATAGATAGATAGATATATAGATAGATATATAGATATATAGATATATTAGCTCCCTGTAGTGCCAATGTGGAGTTCTGCAGTGAGGGTCACCCTCGGAGCAAGGCCTGGAGACAAAAATAAGAAAAAAAGAAAGAAAATGTGATTCCTTCCCATGTTCTTCAGCTTACTGGGTCTCCTTTTCCCACACTTTGGCCACAGAGAGAGGGATTCTGTCAGAAATTTTGCTGCACACACCCATTGTGCAATTCTGCAGTGAGGGCCACCCTTGAGTCAAAGTGGAGAAAGAAAAAAGGAAAGCAATACAAACAACAGCAAAGAGTATTCACCTCTATATGAATTGATTCTTGATGTTGTGACTCCCCTCCTCAATCTGTCTACTGTTGACTTTTCAGAATGCTCAGGCAATGACTCGGTATTTGTCTAGAGTTTTCAGTTGTTATCAGTAGGAGAAATAGGCTCTAGTAGATTCACTTCTCCCTGACCATTACCAGAAGTCCATGTTTTACATTTATTTTATTTTCCAATCCTTTGCCAGAGATAGAGCTCATGGTCAAGAACAGGTCTAAGACCGTAGGTCACTGAGAGAGAGACAGACAGATAGACTCAAGGAGCATGAGACCGAAGTCATTCTTATTGTTGCTGACTTGGTTATTGCCTTCGTTTTCTTTTTCTTTTCAGCCTTCTATGGGGCTCTTTCTAGCCCTGCTTCAGGAGTGCATGAGATGAATATTGGCCCCATCATCTTCCAGGTGGCCTCTGGAGATATCACCAAAGAAGCAGCAGATGTGATTGTAAACTCAACATCGAAGTCATTTGATCTCAAAGCAGGTACTTTTCTTGTATGGTTTTGACTAAAGGAAGAGTTAACATGATAGATCCCATGAAGGAAAGTTTCTGTAGCCACAACTGATTTTTTTTTTTCTTTTTTAAATTCTATTTTGATTTGGGTGAAGATTTACAGAGTAAATTCACTTTTCAAACAGCAGTTCACATATACTTTGTCTCATGTCATTGACCAAAATTTACAATGCA